AAAAAAAAACTGTTGATACAATACAAAAACAATATATACACTGCCCTTTACTATAGTACTTTTTGCAGTAACTAGTAGTGCAACTAATTACTAATACGATAATATTACAGTTACTATTCATAAAACAGTTAGTTACTTAGTTAATGGTTCCTTGATTTATTTTCATAGTTTTCACGACTCCGTCCCAGTGCAGCAGGCATATGGAATATGAAAAAGCTGACATTCAGCGGATGATGCTACTATCAGTCAGCACTGAGTGTTCCTAATCACTTCTGACTGCGATCCCGTGTGGATTTTGGTCAAATGATGAGGCAGAAATATATTCTTAGTAACATTTTAGAAGAATTTTATGGGGAAGATATGCAGCTTGCCAGCTTCTGTGAGGCGTGAAGGACAAGTAGTGTAACCAGTAGTGTAACTAATTACTATTGCCAGAAAGTAACAAGTGAAATAATAATATGTGACCCTGGAGCACAAAACCAGTCAACTATTTGAAAATCTGGAATCTGAGGGTGCAACAAAATCAAAATATTGAGAAAATCATCTTTAAAGTTGTCCAAATGAAGTTCTTAGCAATGCATATTACTAATCAAAAATTAAGTTTTGATATATTTACGGTAGGAAATTTACAAAATATCTTCATGGAACATGATCTTTACTTAATATCCTAATGATTTTTGGCATAAAAGAGAAATGTATAATTGTGACCCATACAATGTATTGTTGGCTATTGCTACAAATATACCGCAGCGACTCAAGACTGCTTTTGTGCTGCAGGGTCACATGTTAGTTTTGAAAGGAGTAAGTAGTAATGAGTAATATATTGCAGTTTTCGAGCAGCAGGTGTTGATGAGCGCTCTGTCGTCGCTCCGCAGACCCTCTCCACACGTACTTGTGCATCTGTGGTCTGTCTCTGATGGCAGAAGCGGAGCTGGCGCTGAACATCAGTGTTGGAGCGTTCGAGAGTCTGCAGCAGCTGCAGGAGGCGTGGAGGCAGAAGAGCACATGACGACTGAGAGAGGTATTAAAGGTAAAACTCATGCTTCGCTTCGTTTGGGCCCCGGATTCATCCTCCCTCCTCAGTGTTTGATTATTAGTTTCTGCCTTACAGACCAGCTGATCCTGGACTATTATACACTGTTTATTTCTGTTTTACGCTTTATATATATATATATATATATATATATATATATATTTCT